AAAGCAATATTTGTTGATAAAAAAAAGCACATTTACATTCATCGATATTTCATTTCATTCTATGTTTCTATATTCATATTAATCTTATTTTCCAACTCTCTCTCGCCATATATATATATATATATATATATATATATATATATATATATATATATATTCATGAGGAAATGAACAGCTTATACAAAGAAAAGAGAAGCATTTATTCATCATGTTAAAGGTCATGCAATTAATTTCGCTTTTAAGAAAAATGTTACATGGAATTATATTCATTTATAATTACCTGTTACTTGTTATATTGTATTTTCAAGGTCATTCGGAACACAACAGCTTAACAGCTTAAGAAAAAAAATAGGATTATGCCATTTATTTGTTTAGTTATTATTATTTTACATTATTTGTTCTGTTTTGTTAACTTATTTAACAGAAAGAATAAGAAAGGAAAATGTCGATCATAAATTTATATAATTGGCTAATGAATAACACAGTTCTAGTCATTTTATTTAATCTCAATAATCGTGAGACTAGGAAATCAATTATGTTATCAGATTTAAGCAATGAATTTATAATGTGAAGAGTATAATCATAACGGTTATTTTGGAATTAGTAAGTCAGCTCTTCCAGGTTTCTAATAGTAGTTAACCACTAATAGACTCATGATTTCAATGAAGTTCTTCAATCTATACAACCCTAAAATGACAATTATCTTGTGATTAACACAGCCAAGCTGTGAGATGAAGTTCTCGGAGTACTAATGGGAAGTCTTGACTAGTGCAGCTCAGCCATGTTGAGTGTGAGGCAGTTACATACCGAAGACCATCAATAAGTGCTGTAGATTGATTGAAGTCAGACCGAAACCACTGGATATCAGTTCCGTGGTCTAGAGGTTAAACATTCGCATCCAAGACCGAAGGTCTTGTATTTGTTTCCTACTCACAGAGTTGTGAATGAGCATTGCTGCTGAGTGTCATATTAGGGTCAAACTCACTTCTAGTACTTCTAGGTTTCTAATGGTGGTCTAACATTGATCGATCCGTGACTACAATGAAATTCATCATTCTTCACAATCTTATAATAACTTATATTGATGCCTCTGACAAAGATATGGAATGACACTTTCAAATCCTACAATAACATTAAAATGCATTCTGATCACAAGTAATTAACGAATATGATATAAATTCTAGATCCACAGTATTCTGTCAACAGTTTCTATCCACATACCATTGAATTTTAGTTGGACAATCGAAATTGTAAGGAAATAAATGTGTAAAATAAAGTTAACTAAACAACCATCATTTTTTCTCACAATACACTATGGCACTTTTCAACTTCTTGCGTAATGGTTTAATGTGAAAAAGATAGTAAATCTTACAAGCAGTATTGATTTTTTTTCAATTAATTATGAAGTGTCAGATGATTGAAGAGGACATACACAGTTACTGAACGAATATTCATATGTCTAAACGGGTCAATTCATCAAGGTGACTTCTTCGACTTGATGTGCGTTTCAAATTAATTAATTCATTAATTAATCAGTAATTAACTAATTATCCCTTTTTGTATATACCTGAAAATAAAAAATAAAAAAAAATAATAAATATTGATTTAATAACGTTTCTCATTTCGTGAACAGCTAACAATTTTCAACTAAAATTGGTCATTTTGAATCTTCCAAGTTTTGACAGTAAAAACAAAAAAAATTAAAGATCAGTGATAAATGTTTTAGTGTAGATTTGTAAAGAAACGAGATGTTTTGTAAATCGTTTAGAAAATTTCAACCTCGTTTTTTAAACAGTATATATTTTGAATGTTCAATTTCCTACAGCAATTTATACTATCCTTACAAATTGTTTATATATCCTGTAGCTAAATTAATTATTTTGTCTATAACAACATGTTATGTTTAACATAATCAAAGGTGCATTGATATCTCTAATTGTGTATACAAATACACGTGTACCTGCCAACGCATTAACATTGGTAGGAAGAATTGCAGAGCCTACGTTCAATTCATAGAATATATTCCAAAAAATTTTAAGGTCAAATGGACTAAAGAGATTCAGCAGTGTCATCTTGAAACATCAGGTGAGGTACACTCAAGTCTTTCAAGGTGATTAATAAACAATGAAGTTACCATCTTCAAAAATTTGCTGAAGCTATCGCCATCTAATATCTGAAACCAAACTTATATATACAAAAGGTATTATTGATAAATACTTCTACCCTGTTAACATTACATCTATTCCATTGCATCGTCCTTCATTTTGAATCTTTCTTATGTTTTGATTACATCACTTTCATTTTTAATCAATTCACAACTTTAATTTTTAAATGACTGATTTCAACTCGTATTATTCTTTACTATCATTAATCCGATCTCGGTCAATGCTTTACACAACCATCTAAAGTTTTTTAACTCTATGATCATCATGCTAAACATATTCATCTCTAATTATGACATGCTCGTCAACTGATATGCTTGACTGCTATTATGAGTTCACCTTACTCGGTAAACGTAAAGAAGGTCAATGATACAGAGACACGAGAGACTATTCTGATTCATTTGTCCTCGGGCCGACCAGCTATATCAATAAGTCTTAGAAAGTGTGTTCTACAAGCACCCGAAAAATATGTGGTTGACAAGCAGATAAATCAAGCTTATTTATTCATGGTAGAAACGACCTTGGGAGAGCCACAAAAATAGTATTAAAATAATCCATCAACCAATGACAGTCACGGATTTTCCGATTGGGAAATATAAGCTGAAGGTCAACTAAGCGACTTATGCGCGAAAACACAAATAATACAAAATAAGGACTCTTTACAATTGAGTTTTGGGGATCTAACGTCCCCAACAAACTAACTTTGTGTTCATAAATATGTCGATTTTTATGATAATTTTGATTTTAAAATATTATCGTTTGTAAGCAGCCACTGTGAAACTAATGAGATAAGATAAATTTATATTTCACTGAACAAATATTTATTTTTGTTTTTGTCAAGATAACAAACGGAACTAAATATATGAGATATTTCGCATCTTGTTGACGATTCTTCATGCTGTACTGATAAGACATGTGGAAACTTGTAGAGGCATGCATTGATTCATCCGGTGATATGTTATCTACGACTAAGAAAGCTTAAAAAATGGTTACCATATAGTTAGTTAGTTTGCAATGACTGGAGTAGTAATTACAAATCAGGAATCTTTGAAGATAGATAATAAAATTGACTTTATCTTGAGGGCATGAACTGCTGACTGCAATATGTTTGTCACATATCTAAATTGACATTATTTAGTTTAGAAACAATGTAAGTTGGTAATGTTATATCTTGAATCAATAAGCTGCCATATTACTGACTGAATACCGTACAGAACTCATTTATATCTATTTAAAGCGATTCTTATCACAATAATTTTCAAAAATATTCTACACGGCTTTACAAAAATCATCCTCACAAAGCATATGTCAATCAACCGAACCCCATTTACATCTATAATCCCTGAAAAGTATCTATTTTCGGGAAATCGAGATATGGTACGCAGATTAGCTTATTTTAATGCAGTGGTCATACTACACGACCAACACACAACGAAGTGACGGTATTAATGAACGAATGTGGTTTAATAAACAAATATGTGTGTAAATGTGAATAAATCCATAAGAGGTTAAGGTAATTGACATTTAAGCTAATAAAAGAAATGAATGCATAGGCTGTTACATGCGTTCAATCGGTTAAACTGATGGCTGAACTAATTCTTACACAACCGAGTAAATATACTATGATTCAAACAATGTTAAAAGAAAATTCAAAACCCGCGCTCACATAAACAACGTAATTTAAAATGACGTTTTCAACGTTTTAAATAAATTGTAATTTCTTGATTCAAATAAGTTATAAATGAACACAGACCACATTGAAAGTATTCAACTACTGCTATACTTCGTCCAGATGTGATTAAAGTTTTAAGTATATAGATAAAGCAATTCATGTTCACTCGATATCATAATTTCATCTAATTTAATCCTATGTACATTCTGGTTGTGGTGCTTTCTTAAATAATCAATAAAATCTCATCGAATCAATAATGTGTGAATTGCGTTATTCCATCAAAAGATTTTAAATAAGCACTGAATTGACTCTTAATCAGAAGAATCATTTTATTACTTGCTGAGTACTCTGCATATAATAAATGATAGAATTTTTAAAATTAAATCTCAAGTTAACCTTTATCATTTATTTAAACATTTTTTTTCTAAGGGAACAGTTTTTTCGAATTGGAAATTATACCTATGAGACTAGTTGTTTTAATCGAAGATGTTGTAAGTAAGCTTTGTGTGTAACGAATTAACTGATTTGCTCAATCAATACGCAGTTAAATATTAACTTGTTTTTTGCATCTCTATATAATAATTACAATGTTGTTTAAGGGAATAAATACAGAAAATCATAAATGAAACCTTAAGTGACTCGAAATATGTACATAATCGGCAATAGAACGATACTGTTTATAAAATAGAAGGATCTGCATAAAATTTAAAATGATTTTATCTTAAGTGTCATACAAAAGTGTTCATGTGTGAATCGGCAAGATTTTGTTTTAAACTACTTAAATTTCAAAACATTTTTGCTCAAAACTGAACAATCAAAGACACAAAATAGCAACTTATGCTTGTGAACCAATAAGCAATAGAATATATTTCCAAAACGGTACATCCAATACTAGTTTAAATTGTATATACATACAAGTACTTCATTGTGATTGGTTGATTATGAATAAAAATATATTTATTTATCATGCATAACAGATTTTTGTTAAATCACATGGAAAAATAACTGAATCATTCGAATGATTACACTGATCGCATATCATTCATTATCATCTCATTTATATGCTTTGACATTATCTATTAATGATTACTAAATTATTGGTAACTAAGAAGGATTATAAATAACTAGTGAGTAATTAGAAACATCATTTTACACAATTATAAATAATGAAAATTAGAAATTTCAATAAACAATTTAGTTTAAAATCTATCAATAATACCACAGGAAATGTTGACGCCGTTGAATTTACATCAATGTACTCGGGACCACCGTTTGCCATGGCTAGTAGACAGATTGAAAATGGTCTTTTAGATTGTAAAGAATTATTGGATTCGAAAATGTTTTACAATGTATCAAATTCAACAAATAACAATTGTGGTATCACCGTTACTACTAACAACAATATAAGTAGTCATTGTTTTTTACCATCTGGGAATAAATATGAATGTGTTCATTCACTTTTGTCAAATGAAGAACAAGCGAATAGTAGTTTAAAATCATTGCCAAAACGTAAATTCTTATCACAGCGATACAAATCAATGGATCAAGCTATGAAACCGGCTAAAAATAATGAACAATCAGTTAAAACTTCCAGTAAATCTGTCGAGTTTATTGAATGCGGAAATTATAAACCAGTTACTGCAGAAAATCCATCCGATCAACCTGAATATATTGAAATTAAATCCACAATGAATAATCACATGAAATCAATGTTTGCCAATCTGTTACATATTAAATCACTGACATGTTGTAAACCAAATATAAATTCTAATTTATGCACACATTTATCAGACTATATTCATGCAACAAATCGACGTAAAGAAATTGTTATCGTTATCATTGTATTGTCCATATTATTATTGATTATTATCATTATTACTATGATAGTATTGTATAAATTCAATGATGACTCACCAATCTCTTCATCATATACATCGGCAACACAGTCGCCAACATTCTCATCATCATCATCATCATCATCAGCAGCAGCAGCATCCATACGATTATCATCGGAATTATTAAGTTTAAAACCATTACAGTCGTCAGTAGAAAGGATACCGAATTATAATAACCTACATAATATATCCATAAGTTCGTCTGCTAATCCCACTGATCATAATAATGATAGTAATGATAGTAATCACAATCATATGCATAACAGTAACAATAGTAGCAGTAGTAGTACAGAACAAAAGTGTAAAACACAAAAATTTTGTTTAAATATCAGTTGTTTACAAATTGCATCCATTCTAGCTGAACGTCTAGGACGATATAATCGACCAAAGAGTATCGCCAACATGTTAAATAATCAATGTACCATAGAAAATCTTGATCAAATTATTAAAATATTTTATATTGGTGATGAATTCCATTTTTCAACACATGAAAATAGTTTGTATAAATTTAAACAAAAGCGTTTATCTACATTATGGTCATTGGTGAGTGATGAATTGCAAGGTTATATCATTGAAGATAAAAAACGTCCATTATTTTTATGGACAGAAAAATTAGCTTATTTATTTCAACATTTAATTGATAAGTATATGTTTAATAAAAATGTGACAAATATAACTCTTATCAATGCTACTTATAATACTACTACTTATAATACTACTCATAATGCTAGTAAAGGTGGCATTCCTAATGAAGACAAATCTTTTCATGATAACAACAATCTTAAGCCTATTGATAATGATACATTTTCATTTGAATCAAATGATGCCGATAATAATAATAATCAGAAGAATGAAAATTCTAGTTTAATGTATTCTTCATTTCAATCTAATAATCAGTTGTTTTTAACTACTAATAAACAAACTTCCAAACCATTGATTACCGCAACAATGAAAATGATTGGACCGAGTGAATTTGAAACAATCAGTATGTCATTTAAAACAGAATTAGAACAATTGAATGATTTATTGAAATTAGGAAATATTGCATTTCATGGATTAGGTAAGGTAGTTGATTTTTTTTTGGAAAATATTACCATTTCTGTATTGTTTGAATAGATATTTTTTTATTTAAAGAGGGCGATATGTAGTTTTAGAAATGGAGTTTTCCTTTGCTTGTTCTCATCTTTAAAATTCGATGAATGTTCACTAGAAATGAGCTGAAACGTATAGACTGTTATTAATCAGATTAAAATTATCAACTGATCCACTGTTCGACCAACAGCAGAAACCTGGAACTATTAGAAAGCCGTTTTGTCCTTGTATGGGACTCATCATTTTAACAGTGATCTATTCGTAATATCAATGAAACTCTATAGTTTCCATGACCCTGTAATAAAATTTATCATGTGCTTAATATTGCAAAGCTGTGAGATGATATTCTCGGAGTTTTGGGAGAAACCGTAACCAGTGGAGTTTAACTGTGTTGGATGAAGTCGCGCAGTATCATAGATTGATTGATATCAAATATTGACTCCGTTGGATGCCGGTTCAGTGGTCAAAATGTTAAGCGTTTGCTCGACAGACTGAATGTCTTGGGTTCGATTCCCATGTGTAGAGGTTGTGGATGTGCATTTTTGATGAGTGTCAAACTTGGACGAAACAGCCGTCCGATGCTTCCAGGTTTCTAAAGAGGTCTTAGCGCTGATCAGTTCGTGATTTCAATTGAATCCAACAATCTCTCCAACCCAATACTGACAGTTATTAACTAAATATTCAGTTATCTTAAATCAGTTAAAAATTTTATAGAAATCGATAGACACTAAATACAAGTACCGTTTTGTTCCAGTTCTTCTGCCAAGAATAACATTTTTAACTGAATCACTAGTAAACGTACAACTGTAGATCAATCTAGTTGTTATTTTCAGACTTTCCAGTTTAATTGAATAGGCACATTTCCTGATGTTCTAAGTGCGAATTTGATTTCAAGCATTTAGAGCTTAGTTTTCTAGCCATTTCAAAGCTACCCATTGAAACTTATGTTTCTTTTTCTAAAACCATTTGTAGTTGAACAAAAAATATTTGATATATTTTACTATGAAATTCAAGTCTAGAAACTACTAAAATGAACCCAAGTATGGAACATCAGTAGAAGGTTTAGCCGTTGGAAGATGATTCTTTCATCGTTTTATTTGTTCATTCATTCCAGCGAATTTCATATCTGCCACTAACTAGACAACGTCATGATTTCTTTCACCCCGTTGGTCTAAATTCCCGAAAGTTTTTTAATAGAAACTATACATAGATTACTGTAAGTTATCGATGTGTACGATAGATTATTACAGGTCAGATTATTAATTACTTATTGAAAACGTTACACCAAGCCATATAATATAAATCTACCTACGTAGCCTACAGAGAAAAAATTGTTAATACAACAAACAGCTAGTCAGCTATATCAATACCGATGAAAGAAATTTCAGACAATCCATGATTGAGTGAAAACTTGAATTATGGTAACATTCAAGTTTACACCAATTGCCTTCATCATAACAGCAGACATAAAAACACTTGATCACTGCTAAATTTGTTCTATTAATCGAAATGTAGGTTTCACATATAATAAAGTAGCTCTTCCTAAGTAACACGATTAATTATGACAGATAAAACATTGACCGTCATTAAAACAATCAGATTCATCCTCGTACTTTGGAATGACACTGAAATTCTCTGCCGAACCCAATATTTATTTCAGTATACTGTTCATCACTTAGTGATTGAAGCTGGAAATACCAGCCAAAAATTAAGGTACACTAGAAATCAGTTTGATTCTAGTTCACACTGCGTTCAACAGCTCTATCGATGATAATACTTCTGTGATGAATATCTTGTCCTAGATGATAAATAAACCGAATAAATAAATAAAAGTATTGTTTCATGATGAAACAAGTTAGTTATGATTGTATAAACTTGTATTTCAGGCAATCGCATACATCATATAATAGAATATACAATAAAATAAAAACCTTTCACCTATTATACGCTACAAACTAGTAACATCGTACAACAACTTCAGTCTTTAGTTCAGTCTTTAGTTCAGTCTAAATTAGATTAAAATAATTTTTTCTCTTTTAGTTTATCAAGGTGACTAATGAAAAAAAACAGTTGAAATAAACAAAATACAATTTTGAAAGAAAAATGATGAGCAATTTATTAGCTTGAGAAGTAACTGGCACAAATAGTAATCTGGCCTCATTTAATTTCACTAGATATATTCAAAGTGACTTTATTTCGATGTGTGGCGTTCGCGTACAATACCGAAGGTCCCGGGTTCGAATCTTGCGAGCGGCAGGAGTCGTGGATGCACACTGCTGATGAGTCCTATTCCAGGACGAAACGGCCGTCCAGTGCTTCCAGGTTTCTAATGGTGGTCTAACAATGATTGACTGATGATTTCAAATGTATAAAAAATACTAGTGTTCATAACAATTTTAAGAGGTCGGCCAACTGTATTCATATAGAATGGAGCTGCAAATTTCACTAAAATGTAAAATCAAATCAGTAAACGGTTGTGAAGATTGTTGAGTTTCATTGAGATCGTGAATTAATCATTGTAAGACCACCATTAGCAATCTGGAAGCAGTAGATAGTCATTTCATCTTAGTTTTGGGACTCATCATCATTGCCCATCCACGATTCCTGCACCTCGCAGGGATCAAACCTAGGACCTTTGATCTCACATGTGAATGCTTAAAATATAGACCACCGGGCTAACATCCAACGTCGTTAATATCTCACTTCAGCCAATCTAAGTTTTTTGCGCGATCTCATGCATTATCTTCTCTGGATACTGCTTCACGCTCGATAGGTTTGAACTTGATAATCGAAGTAACGATTTATTTAATAAACTGTGTTTGATGAAAAAAACATTGTCAATTCAGCCTGAATCGAATATCAATGAACCTATATAGACAATTGTATTTAACGAGTTATTTGATCAAACAACTGAACATATTCGTTTGAAACAGATTTACGGAAAGATGAGAAGGAGATTTAGCTAATTTACTTACTCTTAAATATATCACAAATTCATCATATACGTCAATCATATTGTGAAGTATATTAATTAAAATTCAACAAGAGTTTTATATATGTCTCAACAGTTCATCAACTACCAACAGATTAGGAAAACTTTGTAACTGATAAAATTAGAGATGAAATTAAAATATATCCAATGGCTACTTATCTACCACCATTCTTAAATAAATGTGTAGTGGTTAGCAAATTAATTTTCTTCTTTCACATAATCAATAAAAATCATCATTTAAAATACATTCGTAAGTTATATTCCGTTAACAGTCGAATCCAGAACGTCTTTTTCGTCCAACTTGGAACTCGCATGTCCTGAATTCTACAGATAACTTCATTCCTTCTATATAAACTTGTGCTATAATATGGCTATGCCATGGCATTCCAGATAGGATGCCCAAATCTTAACAAAGATTAGTTAAATTTTAGTCAAAATATTAAACAACGAGATAATCCTAATGATTTGAAATTAAATCACATACATTTTGATGATAGAACAATGAGAAGATGCAAAGTAATCTGATAAATGCGATGTATTTACGCTATACATTTCAAACAATCTGATCTTGCATATATTTGTCAAGGTATTTTATATTAAAATTAATAAAAAAGATCAATTAAATAAAAATTCAATTAAAACATAAAATGATTATTGTAAATGAAGGAGAGAGAAAATTATTATACTACAGAAAGAATAGGAAATTGTCATGTTACTTTTGGTCATAAAAAGGCTTGAAGATTACCAGGGTAAAAATTTCAAGGTTATTACCCTGGTAATGAAAGTATAAAAAAGTATCGTCGAATTTTTATTGTTCGATTGATACAGTTCATTACGTAAGTTAATCCAATGGCTGAACAAAAGCAAACCTTTATGCAAACTCAACTATGTATGCGAAGCAGTATGTTACACCATTAAGGACAACTGACGAACAGTCCTCGAAAACAAGCTTTATACTATTAGGCACTTGTCAGAAGAGTTAAAATTAGACTTTTCTGGTTAGTCGCTTTGCTGAAGTTTTAGTGTCTATATAGGAATTATATGTCTATTGAATCTTTAGATTTCTAAATGACAGGAGCGACTGCATCATACAATGATCCGTGTTTACAAATATTCTAAAGGAGGTTACGTAATAATCCAAGGTTAGATAGATGACAGATATGAAGAAAATGATAAACGCAAAGGTCTTATCATACTATACACTTATATATTTATTAAACAACTATAAATGTATAGCTTAAGTAAGTGATTTCGTCAATAAGAAAATTTGTTTGCTACAACTATCGTTTAAATTTAATTCATCTAAATTAATTACTCTTTGATTCACTTTGAATATGAATTAAACTAAGGATGGGGAATAGAGATAAGCTTCATTTACTTGCGAATGGTCATTCGCCAAAACATAGCTAATAGAATACTATCGTTTCTGTTTAGACTTTTCTAGTTGACCCGTGCATACATCGCTTCTACTGTCAATCTTTCTTTCTGTACCTGCAATAAACCCTATCCGAAGTAATTTGGTGTCATCAAAGTTGACCTTATGTTCTGCTTCTAACTCATGCAATACAACCAGCGATTTTTTCTCCAGTGATATAGATCCTTCAATCGATTAATGTTAGACAATAAAGGAATTTTTCGATATATATTTTATGTTGGTATTAGATGGGAGACACTCCAGTGTTAGAAAATTGAACGTTTTTGTAGTAGTGACAATGTTAGAAAACACTACAAGCAAGCAGAATTTTTCCGGTGTTCATTTGTATCATACTGGATGACTTGAGTAGCTGTCAAACACTATGGTAAACTATTGACCACATCCGTTTACAACCACGATTTGAGACATAACTTGGACTTGGGAAATTTAAAAATATCGTGTAAAGTCGACATTACAAGGTCAGAAATTATCCATAAGTTTGACGTTCAGGTTATCTAGCAGTCAATGGTTCTAACAAGTTAAAGCAAATCAATCAGCTATT